AATGAAGTTCCGAAAAGTTCCATCAGGATTCTTCGGAATTTTTCGGAGGTGGTTTTTGCTGGAGACTGTCCCATATGTTGATAATTTTTATTGTGGTGTAACTTTTGTATGTACACATTGTAGTACAATTTGAATGATCTGCTACTACAGTTAGGGAATATACCAAATATAGAGATCAATTCTAGATTTTTTGCCGATCATCTCATATATGATAAGATATTTAGAGGTAAATAATCTTGATTCAGATATTCTCAGCATCTAGTAGTAGTAATAATTAATTAGCTTATTTTTTCTAATGTGTATGAATTTATTAGATTTATGAAATTTTTACTATATAATCCTCCATAGGGTGTCTAGGTGAAGATACAGTAGAACTTTTTTCAGCATGCCTTTGTAATCTTTTGAGTAATAATTCAAGCCCAAAAGTTAAGCCATAGTCAACCAAAATGATACCTCATAATATCACCATTTAACAAGAATCAGAAAATTGTAAAAAGTTTATTATTTCAAAATATAAAAATAAAATAAGGATAAAATAAAAAAGATAAATAAAATGATAATGAATAAATTTATAGTGGGAATTAAATTAGTCATTCATCAATTCTTTCTTCTACTATTGTTACTAGAATCTAATTTCATTAATTAATTAATTAATATTGTTAGTAATAAATTAATTTTCAATTAATTAATAATGAAATTTATCCACCACCTTTGTTAAAGTCAACATTTAGAGAATCAAGATTATTTAATGAATTATCATTACTTGTATAAATTTTTAGATTTAGCAATCTCACCATCTAAAATTCTACTTGTGTGATATGCATCTGGGTGTGATTTGTGTGCTGGTTGTGAACCACTACTACCACTACTAGTAGTATTATTATCATTTTTAAAAATTTCATTACGTTTGTTTCCAACAAAAATAGCAAGCTCTTCACTAGTTGGTCTTTTTGATGGATCCACATCCCAGCATCTCTTCATCATTTGTGCATAATCATCAGGTATTTCAGGTAATATTGGTGGTCGTAAACCTTTTTCACATATATCAAATATCAAATGATGATTGTGAGCTCTATCATCAAATGATGGATGACCTGCAAATATTTCCCACATTAACATCCCAACACTATAGATATCTGTTTCTTTTGTGTTCTTTTTGCCTCTAAGTAGCTCAGGTGCAATATATGGTACAATTCCATAGACTTTATTTGATGACTTTTCACCAACTGGTCCACATAATCCCAAATCTGTAATACAACAATAACCTCCTTCCACAAGTATATTACCACTATGTAAATCACAATGGATTAAATCTTTTTTATGTATTTCATCCAATGCAGCACATAAATAATAAAAGATTGTAATTCTATCTTTTAATGTTAAATTTAAATGATTTTTTTGCAAATAACTTCTTAAATTTCCTTCTGGGGCATAATTTAAAACAATTGCATAATTTCCATTATCTAGGAATTTAGTTAGACCATAGCAACTAATAATCAGTGGTGATTTAATTTTACAATAATTCAATGTCTGAAAATAAATAAAATCAATTAGTATTATATAATATAGTATTGTTTATTCTTATTTTAAATGACAACTACCAACCTCATCAAGAAAACCTTTTCCTGAATTACTTGAATCATTTAAACTTTTTAATACTACTTTTTGTGTTCCTAAATAACTAAATTCCTTTTTACTATCATTGTAATCAGTAATTCTTCCTCTTATCCATTCTGCAATAAAAATCGAACTAAATTCACCTTCAGTTAACTTTGTTACTTTTTTAAATTGCTCAAAAGGTATCCATTCTAAAATTTGGTTTGGCAGAGATGATATCATTTGACATTGTTGAATAAAATTATCAATTATGTTATTTCCAGATGACCAAGTGGTGAAAAGACTCTGTAATTGTAAACTAATGCAACCTTCACAGAATCTATCAGAATATTTTGTCAACTTACATTTGTTACATTCTTTTGATTTTCCCAATTTATTTCTTGCATTATTTAATTCAAAATCATAAATAATCCTTTCATTACAATATTCTTTTTCATTTTCAGAAAGTTCCTTGTTTTCTTTGACTAATGAAAAAAAATAATCTTTTCTACTTTCTTTATCAGAATTAGCCATTGCATTATTACGCATTTCACTATTAATTTTAAACACAAATTTCTTTCTTTCTGGTGATAACAATGATAATAGTTTAACATACGACATTATATAAAAATATAAAATTCGACTTGGTGTTTTAATGAATGTGGAGAATTTTTGAGAATAACTGTTACATTATTTATTTCTTTTAACATACATAAAAGAAAGAAAGGTTGCCTTTCTAGTCGTAGATTTTTATATTAGATATTTTGTGTAATATTTTTTTGAAATGTTTTGGTTGTACGGGAAATAATCTGGTTAAGACTTGAAACGGTAAATTCAATGAACGAATCCCGAACCTTCTAAACATTTTGTTGCTCAACTTTAGTAAACTGGATTGTTGGAGAAGGATGAGATCAGAATCCAAGGGTAATGTGTTGTTTTTTCTTTTCCAAAAATGATAAATGGTTGTGTTTATTTTTACATCGCTGTGTCATGCGAATTCCCATTGCTATCTATTTGGAAATTTATCTATTTTTGTTCAAAACGTCAGGGTTGAGCGAAGCAGATACTTGACTGAAGAAAATCGCGTTTCGCATTGGATGATTTTTGCATGGTGTCTACCGTTAGGTTTTCGTCTTACTCTAATGTTTCAAAATGGCCAAAAACCTATGGCCTTGCCTTGGAGTCTTTACTCCAGATCCCAGATCGTCAAAGACTTATCACAAAACGTGATAGTGTTGGTATATTTTCGGGTCACGAGGGGATTCAAAATCACTTTTCATATTTTATTTTTGATTTTGACCATTTGAGAGATAGTGGATGATCTGGATGAGAAAAACTTTATTTTAATTTCCAATTGATTAATCTTTGCATAGTTGATTTTTTTTTAACAATCGAAATTTGTAAACAACTTTTGACGATGCTTATTCTTCTATAACGATAGACTTGAAAAAAAAAATCTAATCGATCCAATTGACATTTAATCTGGGATAAAGAAACACGAGAAAAAGATCAGGGCAAAGGATCTTTTTTTTTTAATTAAGAAAAACTTATAAATAATAACAGTTTAATAAAAATATTATTCAAAAGCAGTGAGGGTGATGGTGGTGGTTTGCAACAAACGCACAAATCACATCCGGATGCATATCATACAAGTAGAATATTAGATGAAGAGATTGCTAAATCTAAAAGTTTAAAAAGTTATACAAGTAATGATAGTTCGTTAAATAATCTTGATTTTAAATCTTTTTCCTGAATGTTGATTTTAACAAAGGTGAATTATTAATTAATTGGAAATTATTATCCATTAATTATTACTAACAATGATAGTCAAAGAAAGAATTGATGAATGATTAATTTAATCTCCGCTATAAATTTATTCATTATCTTTTTATTTATCTTTTTATATTATCCTTTTTTTATTTCTTATATTGTAACATTACTTTGAAATAATATACTTTTTACAATTTTCTGATTCTTGTTAAATGGCCAGTTAATTGCAAATAACTCGATGTTGTCAATTAATTAGTTTACGAATTTACTTTGGTTCTCTCTTTCTTGCACCTAGATAAATTTGTAAACACACTTAATGATACAAAGATGGATCTTTACAATGCTCGAGGACTTCTATAAAGTTCCTTTTATTCACTTGTGACCGACTTATTCATTTACCCTTGTTTACATTTATTGGCCTCGCTTTGGTTTATTTGCAAAACAACTCAAGTAGCTTGTTTAATAAATAGCTTTACGTTTACGATTACAATAACACCACAAGCATTTCCGATTAACATTTGGACAATACTTCATTAACACTCACTAGTTAACCAAACCTTGTTTGCTTGCTCGTTAAAGCAAATTACATTACTAATTGTTGTTAACACTCACTAGTTAACCAACGTTAGTCCTAACATTAGATTGCTTGTTTGCTTGCTCACCAAAGCAAATAAATGTGGTTTTTTACCAAACAAAGAAAATAAAGACAATGTTTTTATTTTTATTTTTATTAAAATGTCAAATATCTATTATTTGCTCTGTGAGGACCCAAAGTTATGCTTTTTCAAACGAAGACCCTTAATGAAATTTTCATTGATTACTACAATGGGACAAATATAAAGATGGGTTTATTATTGCAAAATAACTTAATTAACCAATATTGATATTATAAAGACTTCCGTAATTAAAATTAGTTGACCCTGGAATATAAAGTACCGATGATTTTATCTACCCCGGTCATGTATCACGTTATAAGAAATGTAGTAAATGCTGAATTTGTATTTAGCAAAAGAAAAACCCGACTCCTTGGGGACAACTGAATGAAACAAAAGAGAGATTGAGATACACAAGGAAAATATAACTAAAAAGACTTTGGAATATATATTTATAATCGTGAGCTTTGTATTTATTAGCCTTTAAAGAAATTTTACTTGCGTCGTTTTTGCAGCGAATTTGTACAATATTAGTCAAAATTTCAGATTTTAAGGGTACATAAAGTATACGAAATACCTTTACCACACTTACCTCAGGGTTGTTCTTACCACATCTACCTCAGTTATACCAAACCCAATCCGTTCCTTTGGTATAAATGTAACCATCTCATCCTAAAAAGATGGTTAGTCAACCGAGGTATTCCAAGAAACAAGAAACATGTAGGGAGCAGCGCTAATTCTTGTTTGAATAAACTATATTCATATAAAGAATTCCAATAAAAATGTTTAACCTTTACTGTTGGACCATTCGAAGTCTTTCTTTACTAATATAGATAAAATTCTACCCAATCATGATCTTTGGGTCAATGATTTGTGCAACTTTGAAACTTTTTTTGAAAAAACGATTCAATTAAAAAATAAATGATAAAAAATACACAAGAAGGTCAAAATTCACCCAAGGAAAAGGTCGAGGCTAACCGACAGCCAAAAGATTCCAGCAATATTGACGGTAACGACGACGTTAATGATAATGACGATGATAACAATAGCAACAGCGAAAATAATAGTGAATATAATAGTGAATTAATGAATTATAATAATCTTAGTGTCAGTGATATTAGTATTATAGATGGTGGGATCGATAGCACTTTTGCCAGTGATACTTTTGAAAGTTCACAAAGTGGGAGTGAGGAATGGGAAAACAGTGAATTGTGGGGAAGTATAAAAGAGGAAGAGGAGGAAGAGGAAGAAGAGAAGGAAGAGGAGGAAGAGGAAGAAGAGGAGGAAGAGGAGGAAGAGGAGGAAGAGGAGGAAGAGGGGAGAAAAGATTATAATAGTTCACCGGTAGATAATGGTAATAATAATTTAGCAAACTTCAACAAAAATCAGATTGAAAGAGATTCACAATTAATCAAAGCACCTTCGAATGAAATATCTTCAGTAAAATTTGGACTTAGTACTAGTGTTTTAAAGTTCATTTTTAAATTATTAGTAAGAATAACGAAATCAAACAAAATGATTTTTGTAATCAACATATTATGGTATTCAATGTTGTTGAGTAAAGTATATTATAAATCAAATGATTTTATTAAAATTTATTCTAATAAAAATTATTTCCCCAATAGTAGATTTTATTTTAAATTGATTTATAATAATGCTGATTTTAATAGATTAGAAAATCTTTCAGATAATTTAATTAAAAAATTGTCAAGTTCAAACTTTTCATTTTTATTTTTAAGTATGATTGGATTACTTTATAAAGATCTATCAATACAAAAAATTATTTTATTATCATTAATTATTTCAAATATTAATTTAGCTTCATTTCATATTATTTATTATAAAGCTGGAAGATGGAATAATAAATATTTTTATGAGTTTGGTTTACCAGGTATTTTAATCTCAACTTTTAATACTATAGCATATATAAACACTGTTTCTAAGTCAAAGTCTTTATTTTAAATGATGATGATAATGATAATAAAAAATTCAATTATTATAAATATCAAAGAATTGTTTTTCTTTTCTTTCTTTCATAATTCATTTCCTAAAAAAAAAATTATTGATCTTAACTTCGACCAAGTCAACAAACCGGAAGAAGTTCTTCAGTTTCAACTTAACCTGCAATAATTTTATCAAAGAACCAATCAAACACGTTTGCATTCATTAATCCGAAAATATTGAAAAAATCAAGAATAATGACAAAAAGTTATCAACAAATCTTGAAAATCTCAAATTCAAAACATATCGCATTTGCCCGTAATATTTATCGGGCAAAATCCGTTATACATAATCGCTCTTTCAAATGACAATCTGCATCCACATCTTATACCATTAATTTTATTGATCTTGCAATTATAGAAACTGATGAACCTCATACAATGAACCTGTTGTCAACAATCAAATTCCCTTATTGTCATCAATGAAAATAAAGATGAAACAAGAAATCTCCTCGCGTTGAAGCTAAAAGGCATAAACTGATCATCAAGCTATATTCTGCCATGTCTACAATTGGATCTTCTTCTGTTACCATTGATAACAATCAAATACTACTACAGACAATAATAAAATCAATAATACTAAATCTTCATTCTCTACTGGAAATAATAATCAACCAAGCTAAAGGTTTCTTTGAGGCCGTAACCAAACAAATCACAAATCCCAAAGAAAAGCCTACTCATGCTAATATTAATGAATCAATTAATGACATTAGCAACATTTATGATAACAATGGAACTTATAACACTAATGCCACCTTTAATTTGGAATTTTATTTATCATTTCGAGTGGAAATTTTTGATTGTATCACAAAATCATTTTTTTTTGGTTAATCTATTTTAAATAATCAAGATTTCAAAAAAAAAAAGATTTTTAAAAAATACCAACATTGTAAATATATACAAGAACATGGAAAATATATCTAATGGTAATAACGAAAATATCGTAGAGAATGTGATGGAGAGTACAATTGTTGAAACTGAGGAGCATCCATTCACATTGAAGATAAAAATACCAAATCTTGTTGACAAGTCTCAAGTTTTTGTAAGCCCGTGCAAAGCATTTGATTTTCAATTAATCAACAATCTATTAATATTATTTCTATTAAAACTTATAATTATAAATCAATTATTTTAATTCTTATTAATTGATTGATCGATTAATTAATAAATGATTTAGGCAACTGCAAGTGAACTTGTGCAGGAAGTTAGACAATGGTTAATTGATTCACCAGAAACTTCTAATTATACATGCTTTTCTCTATATTGGGACGGTAAAAAACTCGACGATTACAAAGAGCTTCAAGATGAAGGGATTACTCAAGATGCTGATCTGGAATTAGTGGAAGGTTTACTTTTATTTTATTTTATCTTGCATTTTGATCTGAAATGATAATCTATGAAGCTAATTAAAAAAAATTAAATTTATTTTAACAGAGCCTTATACAGAACGAGAAGCTCGCATTCACATTATGCATGTTAGAGAATTACTTTCGGGACCATTCAAACAATCTTCTTCGTATGTTGGAATTGATCCTGGCTTATCATTTTTCACTGCTGTCACTGGATCCAATGGTAAACGAACTAAATATTTGTATTTGTATTTGTATATATTTGTATTTATATATATATTAATTAATAGTTTAAATAAATCATCAGATAATCAACAAATTATTCAACAGCAACAGCCTCAACAAAACGGGAAAGCTAAAGAGGACGAATCAAATGTTCTTAAACCACTAGAAACTCCATTTTCTGATTACGATTTTTCTGCTCCTTCTTTATCAAAATATGTACCTGAAAATTTTTCAAGATGTAGTATTAAATGTTTAGAATCTATTCATCTTTCTGGTTGGAATCCTGTGCCATTTGAACGTCGTAAAAAAGGTATATTGTAGTCTCATTTTTAGATTTTATTTATTTAATATTTATTACAAGATCATTATTATCTTTAAATATATATATATATATTGTTTTTTTAGGTGATCTTTTGTTTCTTTCTGTTACAATAATCGAGGGAGATAATTTACATATCACTGCATCGATAAATGGTTTTTATATCAATAAATCTACAATGAAAAGTTTTGATCCAAATCCTAAATCTGAGCTTCAAGTATATCATGCACATTCACTTGTCAACCTACTACAAGAGGTTTCACCTATGTTTCGTAAAAATTTCAAAGAATTACAAGAGTTTAACGTTATGCATCACCCTTTCGAAACTATTCCTATTAATTCTTGCTTTCCTGCTTATCCATGGGCTGTTAAACAACCAAAGCATACGTTTGATATGGGTCACATTTCTGAAGTGTACTTGAATGTTGGTAATGATGTGGTTGATTCGCTTAGAGATTGGAATGATGAATTTCAATCACAGCGTGAATATCCACGCGTTGAATTAAGAGATCGTGTACTGCGCGAAAGGCTTGTTAATAAGATTCAATCAGATTTCACAGAAAGTGCTGTCAGAGGTGCAATTGCCGTGGTAAATGGAAACGTCATTCCATTCAATCCACGTGATCCTTCAGAAGAGCACATGTATGTTTATAACAATATTTTCTTTAGTAAAGCATACGATACACGTGGAACTTTTGCAAAGCTTGGTGGTGATGATGCAGCCCATGTTGCAACAGGGAAAGATTTAGAAGGAATAAAAACAATTAATATAGCTGACATAGAAGGATTATATACTTTGGGATGTGTTGTGGTTGATTATAAAGGCATCAGAGTTGTGGCCCAAACCATAGTTCCAGGTTCATATTATTCATTACACATTATTTTTTTAATTAAAATTTATTATTAATTGTGTATATGTGTGTGTGTGTGTGTGTATAATAGGAATTTTCAGACGTCAAGATGATTCTTCCGTTGTTTATGGATATTTTGATAATGGAAGAGATAAACCTAAACTTTGTGCTGATCCCGAGTTCCATGAGATTGTTGGTAAAGCAGCAAAAGTTTTACATCTTGCTGAACACAGGTTTGTTCATTTGTATAATTATCTCATAAAAACTTTCCTTGATGTCAATCTACTTTATACGATTTTAATTTATAAAGTTTATATGTATTTGCTTTGTTTGAAGTGTTTCTGATTCAAAAGGAAATTCCGTAAAACTTCATACTTCTTTAGAAACTAAGGTTTTTTCATAACGTTTATAGATATTTAAACATTTAATATACGTGTATATATAAAAATATATATATATATTGGTTAAAATGTAATTAAACCATATCATCAACTTTTTTGAAAATTATATGTATATATATATATATGGTAGGGATTAATGGGTGATGATGGTAGACGATATTTATTTGATTTGTATCGTCTTAATCCTGTTGATATTGAATTTTTAGAGAAAGAATGTGAACCTAAAGAAGAAAGTGACCTTCCACTTTATTCTCACAAATTAACTTTATTAAGACCAGAATTGATTGAATCTTTTTGGGATTATAAATTTAGATTGTGGCTTCAGGAAAAGGCTAATCGAAGACATAATGTATATTAATTTTTTAAAAAGTTAATACTATTTTTTTTTTTTTAATCAAGTTATTAAACAATAGTATCGTTATCATTATTGTTGTTGATAGGAGGAAACCAAAGATTCTAAACCTGAAGATTCTAAACCTGAAGATTCTAAACCTGAAGATTCTAAACCTGTAGATTCTAAACCTGAAGATTCTAAACCTGAAGATTCTAAACCTGAAAATTCTAAACCTGAAGATTCTAAACCTGTAGATTCTAAACCTGAAGATTCTAAGCCTGAAGATTCTAAACCTGAAGATTCTAAACCTGAAGATTCTAAACCTGAAGATTCTAAACCTGAAGATTCTAAACCTGAAGATTCTAAACTTCAAGAAGTAACTCCCGATGAAGAATTTAATTTTACATTAAATCCAGATTCTTTTACTGATTATAAAATACCAGATGGTGATGATTATAAGACAAAGAAAGAAACTGACGAAGAAAATGTCCGGAATGCTTCAAAATATCTTAGAGATAGTGTTATTCAATTGATGGTAATTAAAATCATATTTTCAAATCTATTGTTCTAAAAAAAAACCTTCTTTAATGAAAAAGATAATCGATTGTATAGATTATTGAATTCACTTCATTAGCTGTTTCACCAGCAGATGGAGCATCATTAACAGCAGCCATGCATCGTCGTGGTATTAATATGCGATATTTAGGCACGATTGCAAAAATTCTTTATGATTCTACAGATCGAAAGTTAGATCATATAAGGGTATATTATAAATTTACATATATACACATGTGAAATAATTATAATATAGCATTATTTTAATTTTATTCACATACAATATATACACACACACACATATACATATCTTTTTATAGCATTTGGTTATTCATGAGATGATTATCAGAGCATCAAAACGTATACTTCGTGAACTTCTTCGAGAACTACCAATCACATACACATCATATTGTGTTGCGCATTTTTTTAATTGCCTGCTAGGGACCGACTATAATGCTAATCCACAACCATTGGTTCCTGATGTATTATTTAGTTGTGGTGGTAGTGGTGAGAATGATGATGATGCAAACAACAGTAAAAAAAAAAAGAATAAAAATATCAAGAATAAAGCCGATAATACTCAATCATATGCATACTTAAATCTCACACCCTCTTCACTCGTTCAACAAATTCATAGTACGGTGTTAGTACGTTTTCGATATAAACTTCCTGAAGATTTTGTTTCTACACACATTCGCAAACTTCCATTACTGAGAGAAATATGTTTACGAGTAGGAGTTCAAATAGCAGCTCAAGGTTATCATTTTGTGAAAAAGAAATCAAAAAAAAGAGCAACCACATTCTTACCAGATGATATCTTCAATCTAATACCTGTTGTCAAACAAGCAACTCCTAAAGTAAACAATCCACTCATTACTTATTACTTTATTATTATTGCCTTGATTTGATCCGGCTGGAATTTTTTATTTATTATTTTTGATTGTTTGTAGTGTATTTTTGCCGAGGAGACTTTCGAAGCTGGAAAATTAAGTATTGCTCAAGGTATTTTATTTTGATTTATAATTATTAAGATTTTGATTTTATTTGATACGTAGAATGTTAATTATCATAAAAATTATATGTTAGGTCATCGAGATTTAGGCGTGGATCTAATGTTACAATCACTTGCATTACATGAACAAAGTTATGGTTTTCTTCATCCAGCAACGGCAAAGTGTTACGTTGCATTAGCGATGTATTTTTATCATCATGAAGATTTAGAAATTGCGATAGATTTTCAAAAGAAGGCCGTTGTTGTATTGGAGCGAACTTGTGGTACTGACAGTGTAGAAGCGGTGCATGCTTATGTAAGTTATGCAGATATAATAATAGTTTTTGAATGGATGGGTTCCTAAAAGAAAGAGCATTATTCAAATAAGGTTATTTCAATAGTTACATTTAGGTCTTTTTGAAAATGCTATTGGTCATACCGAAATCGGTCTTCGTTACATGAAGCATGCAATGTTTTATTGGGAAATTATATATGGATCTTCACACCCGGATGGCGCAACCGCTGATGTAAGAAAAAACAATTTTTTGTAGAATATATATAAAAAATATATACGTATCATTTAAATATATATTTTGATATTTTGCAATTTGTGTACATAGCATAACGTCGGAATTATGTTACAAAATTTAAAAGATTTTGGTGGTAGTATAAGGTTTTTCGAAAGAGCCAAAGAAACAAATGAAACTATCTTTGGAAAAAATAATGTTTTAACTGGTGAATCGTAAGTCGATAAAAAGAAAATGATTTTTAAAAACTCCATCAAAACGTTTATTTAATCATTTTATTCTATTTGTGATGTAGATACCATCTCCTAGCGAAAGCTTTAGCACTTTCTGAAGATTATAAAGCAGCTTTGACTGCAGAAAAATCAGCATATAATATTTTTCACACTGTGGTAGATATTTATTATGTTTTTTTTTTGTTTTTGTTTCTATGTAAACATTTAATAATAATTTTAATTTATTAGTTTGGACCTGAACATCCTCGAACTAAGGAAACTGAGCAACTGCTTAAAGATTTAACGTCAAATGCTGTTCATAATGTTTGTGCTACATTAAATTTACATTATTTCTCCCATTTTTCTTTCCTAATCATAAAATTAACTAAAAATGTGTACATGTATGTATAGGCTAAAATGGCATTATTACAGAAACAAGATAAGCGAAAAGGTATAGCACCAAAACCAACGATTTCAGCATCATCTTCTTCTTCATCTTCAACGATAAGTACACCAACCACTTCAACAGCCACTTCTGCAATGCAAATAAGAACGGCAGGAAGTCATCATTCAAACATCTCAACCAGTACTTTAAAAAAGAAAAAGTTTGCAAAAAGCAATAAATAACAAAAAATCATATAAAGGCGACATTATTAGATAAATAGAAAAAATTATTTAAATTAGAAAATCAAGGGAGAGTAAAAATAATTAATTACACATATTTTTAAATAATATACTGTTATTATTTTTTTATTTATTAATAAAACCAATAACTTAAAAAAATTTTAAATTTTTATAATCTTCAAAAATAAAAACATTATGATATTTCAATCACCCAAATTATAGTAATGATAGGTTATCTAATTAGTTTTTTAGTAGCAAAAGAATTCAAAGAATTGATATGAGACGCAAATTTAAGTTTAGATGTAATATAAATGAACAATACATATAAAAATATAAATATTTCCTATAACCTAAATCTAGTTTTTTTTCAGACAACTTTGCGAGCGAGCTTCTTTAATGCTTTTAGTAAGAGAATGTGCCAGAATACTACCGGTAAGTCTGCTTGCTTTTTCCGAACAAATTATCATGTTCGGAAATTTTCAGCAACCCGTTTTGTGTGTGAGGGGAATTGACAAGTTAACGTTAAAATAAATCATACATACAGTCGAAAAGATAATATACATACTCTCAAATTTCAAAGCGGAACAACAAATTCAAAAATATGATCGTATGATATTGACATGGTGGTTTTATGAGATCAAAACACCATGACGATTCAATTCGGTCTTCTGTAGGTGCGCAATGAAAACATCCTTATATTTTGAAAAAGTTTAGGATGATATGGAAATATCGCAACAAGCTTTTCAAATAAACGAATAAATTTTATCCAACTGTGTCTTTGACATACACAGTGAAACTCGATTTAGCGGATTTCGATTTAGCGGATGTCTAATAAAAATCTCGATTTAACGGACTGAGGCTCAGAACTGGGCTGCATTTTTATATAGTAAATTTTCTCGATATAACGGATGTAC